TCCAAGCTGAATTTTGTAGATATTAAAAAATGTTGAATTGATTTCCACAGATTTCAGAGCGCTCGCAATTTCCAGAATCGGACTCAATCCATGCAATGCACAAATTGATTTCTTTTGTTTCACACTGGACATTTATTTAAAACGATTATTTCTGCTCAAATTCTTGAGCGATATGAGCCGAAATAGCTTCTAGCATTTACAAAAGAACTGTCTAAGCTCAACAAATGTTTCCATTAAAGGGAGCTTTCAACATCGTCCTACCCCACATTCAAAAATTAGTTATGTATTCCGAATAGGTAGTTCATATACTTTCAATTGATTCAAATTTGATAATCCGTAAGCGGGATATCAACTCCATGATTGGCTGATTTTGGCATTTCGAAAGATTTATAACTCTGCTCTTTTGGAGGCCTGCAACTATGTACTTGTATCTGGTAGAGAAGAAGAAAAGTGGCGATTGGCAATAAAATCAACAACACATTGGTTGGCAAAACACACACAAACCGTTTAATGGAAAACAAACCATCAACAGCCATCAAAATTGCAAAAAACGGCCCAGCTAGGAAACAATAGTCTTCAAAAGGGCGTGCGTGAGGGGCGGTGTTGCACTGAAAACTGTGGCATAAATATACTTTGTATATGTCGCTATCTATATGTACGTACATATATGCATGTGTTTGTGTGTGTAGGCCGTGTTAGTTGGATGCGAATGTGCGAAAATGTGTGGAAAACTCGTCGAACACTTTTGTTAGTAGACCACAAAAATCAACTGACAATCGACACCGCGGTAGATTGCAAATATTTGTGATTGTGTAGTTTATCAATTCAATTAATATGCAACACATTTTTTGCTGACCTACGTCTCTATCGAACGTAATTGAATCAAAAATATGCGATACAGGGGTTGGGGCAGGCGGCAAATACAAAATTGTGGCATTTTGGCAATCGAAACCGCAATAAATTGGAAACATTTGGGATTACGAGACCCGATTGCAGCCCGAAAACTTGACAACTCTATCGCGCGCCGATATTGGTCATCTGAAGCGCAAAGCGGCAGCAGCTGTTATACTCTATACTTGTATACAACTATTTATCATAGCGGCGCTGGCGGAGGGAGAGCCAAGCCCGACACAGATAACAGCGGGGGTGCCCTTTCCCGTTCGCACCGTTGCACCAAACGATTAACCTTCGGCAGCAGACAGTGTCACTTTAAAGTAGCCATTAACACGCCATTGTTTGGCCGTTATGGCCAGCCCCGCAGGGTCTCCATCCCAAGGCCCATTTGATATATGCCAGCCAGTCAGCTTGATTGAGAAGTTATGTAGAGCAGCCATTCATGTGAGATCGAGGAGGGAAATAAATTAATTATATAAATTAATTATATAATATTCACTGTTCCAACTAGAAGAGTTAAGTACGATATCCAAAACTTCCATCCAACTCGTTTTATAATGCCGAAAAAATAATAATTATTGAACCCTTTTTTGTTTAATTCACAACAAATAATTATTTATTATACCCTGTACCCAAAAGGGTACAAGGGTATATTAGTTTTGTGCGAGTGCACATGGAACACACAGAAGGAGGCTTGGTAGACCCCACAAAGTATATATATTCTTGATCAGCATGACAAGCCGAGTCGATATAGCCATGTCCGTCTGTCCGTCTGTCTGTCTGTATGAACGCAAGGATCTCCGAAAGTATAAGAGCTAGAATAACCAAACTTGGTATACAGATTCTCCTGAGACCGAGAAAGGACGAGTTTGTTCATTTTTTCTGATCCACCCCCCCACTCCCCCCCTATTAACGATTTTCTATAACTCCCGTAATTCTTGGAATTTTGAACTAAAATTTGGTAGTCACATTAGGTTAGTTATTATATAACCGTATACCAAGTCTCATTATGATAGAATGATCGGAAAGAAAGTTATAGCCATATAACCAGGCCCAATGCACACATACATACATATGTACAAGTACACAAACACGCATAAGGCACGATTCTGATGTAAATGTAAATGTATGTATGCATGCATGGAATATTTTATATTTAATTTAGTTAATTAATTAAATTAATTTAGTTAATTAATTAAATTTAATTAATTAATTAATTTAATTACTTTTTTGTGGGGTGGTACAGGGTATTTAAGAGTTGAGCCTGCTCGACTTTAGCATTCCTTCCTTGTTTTTAAATTTAAGCAGTGGGTATCTTTTCAAAGAGTGTATATATACTTGTACGATAAATAAAAAGCTGCAATTTAAATTTAGTCCCTATTTTCATAAGATTTTTGACAATGTTCCATCACAGTTTGTAAAAGTAGGTGATTTCAAAATATTATTTTGGAAGGGACATTTCGTTTCCGGCTTTACATACATGGGTCAAGTATATACTCGTATAAGCAATGAATCCAATTATAGGAGCGTATCCAATATTCTCTAAAAAAAAAAAGAATCCACTTGTAAATAGATCTAACGCAATTGAAATAATTGTTCCAATCCAATGGGCCTTTCAATACAAACATCCCACTGAGCTACACTCTGCTTCTTTACAAAGCGTCCATTCTCGCTATTCGCGTAAGGTTCTCGAACGCTTTAGTGGATTACATAATACATGTAACTTTATATTAAAAAGCATACTAATAGGTGTAGGTATAGGGTATGTCGACCATAAAACCTTCATTACCCAGCTCTAAAACAAGCAGTCACGAAATAATAAAAAAACTAAAAACTAAACCAAACTAAAACCTTAATTGGAATTCAAAGCCAACACATCGTGCGTGTTTATCGTCTTCGCCGTCGCCTTCGCACACGATAAAAAGGCGAACCGACAAAAAGTCGCTAAAGTAAATAAATTAAAAATACATTTTTACGTAAATGTGGCACATTAAACGGTAGCTCGGTGGAAGGGGCGTAATAAATATAAAAATACAATGAATTAAGTACATGCGAGAAGACTTGTCCATAACAGAAAAACGACGAAAAAACGAAAAACGACAAAATACAATCCAAAACTAATTCAAATAGCAACGAAATATTTAATTCGAGTACAGGCGGGTCGGATCGGATCAGATTGGAGTGAAAGTGTATCAAAGGCCCCATCAGCTGGACAATTGGATACATATTTTAATGAATTTAACGACAATTGGAGCACCTTTCATTGTTTCGGCATCCAAAATGGTCATACTCGTACTACTGAACTCAATTGCATATTAAATTTAATTCACGCTTCTTCTATTCCTTTATTCTCCACTCGATGGTGAGATTTCATTTTTTTCTTCCACGTACAATTTCGTTGAAATTCTATTTATGACAAAAGAAAATCGACACACTTTTGAATATTCTTTTGTGTGTTTACACAGGCCTCTAAAAAAGAAACATCTGTGTAAACCGTTCGTGTAAATGAGGCTTAAGGATGTTTGCTTTCTGAAACGAAAATAGTTCTGTTTTTCAATCAATAATTTAAACGCTGTGGATTATACCTAAATCTACATTTTAGGCGCTCATCCTGACTCATTTTTTAATATTCAATTCGGGTTCCTTATATATAATATAAAAGTTGTTATGATAGCTCCTATAGCTATACAAGAAAGTGATCTCACATACAAGTATTATTTGTGTCCACTATTCAAAGCAATATATGTTTAGTGAAGGGTATAAAAGACGTCTAAATTGAGGAAATAGGACCGTCGGACCAAATAGGCATTGAAAAGTTATACGAAAAAAACCATAGAAATAGCATACAAAACATACATAAAGCTCGATATGTATATACTTATCTGCCTGGAAGGCATAATAAATAACAGCCGAAGAGGTGCGAAAGGTAAACGGACGAATAATTGAATGTTGCTTCAAATTTGAATTGTTTTTAATTATTTGGCCCGACACCCCGCCGCAGAATAGGTTCTTAAGTTGCTGTTAATGTGGAATAATATATGTACATAAAAACTGAATTAAAAAGCGAGCATTTGTTGGTCGGTCGGTCGGGCGGTCGGTCGGGCGGTCGGTCGGTCGGTCGGTCGGTCGGTCGGTCGGTCGGTTGATCTGAGGCTTTGGCCCTATTCACCCGCTATAATTTCCCGAGACGTGACTGGCATTTGAAGTTGCCTCGAGTTGGACTACATACCTATACCTAAGCTATAGTTATGGCTATACCTTTACACATATGTATGTGTAAGTGTGCCCCGCATCCGCACATTTTGCGGAACCACGCAGATGGCCATAGGTTCGGTACTTGCTGCTCATAAGTAGAGCGGAGCCGCCGCTGACAAACTCAAGTTTAGTGAACTCGGCACAGCGGGGTTATGCTAAGTGGGCCTCCGACACCGAGCGACACCAACACCAACATTAACACCAATACCGACGCACGAGTACAGTACTATATAGTGTCGCTCTAAATTCTATAAGCCAACATAAATTTGGAGAACACGTGAGGGGAATGTACATACCATTCCACATTCCCCATTCCCCAATTCCGATCCTCCAGCCCTCCAGCCCTATGGCTGGCAAGCAACGTAAAAAAGAAAACAAAGCGCATTTGCTTGCCCCAAAAAAATGGAAAAGGAATGGAAAAATGCAAGAACTTTTCGATGAAAAATGTGTTCGGTTTACCATTAATCCGCTGCCATGATCCATGGCAACAGATCATTACACACGCTCCTTCGACACTGCTACTCTCTACTGTCTCCCGGCTCGTGCCGCATTGGAAATGTATAAATACAGATTTTCCCCCGAAGAAGGAAATGTGGAAAAGCAATGCACGCTTGTCGCGGAAGCCTTGCAGTTGCTGTAATTTATGGGCGCTCTTCCGAATGACGCGCCAACTAATAGTATCATCATAATTTATGCACAATTACAGAGCACTGCTCGCCTTCTATAATTTATGCCACCAGCCAACCAACCACCCTCCTCCTCTGTTGACATAGGTCGCATAGATCACCGGCCAAATCAGAGGTTAATGGCGGCATTTCAACCAAAACAGGGCCGATACATATGACAGCGTATCTGTATGCAACATTTCGGAATTGGTTTATTTTTGAAATTTGTTCAATGTTTAACAAAAAGGTGACTTATTATAGTTGTGTATCGGGTGGTGTGCTTACTTGTAGATATTATTTCTTTCTGACTTATTTGGCAACCAATAATCCGAAAATTTTGAATTCAGGAATTTAATTTTAATTTAAAGCAATGGAGAGCTACCTTTTTGATCAACACTTCAAAACCAACTGCTGCTATAGCCCTGGTTGCCCTGACCTTGGCCTTGGCCAGGACTTCCTAGACCTATAAGGAGTAGGGTTAGATTAGATTCGATTACCAGACCACAGGATTATTCACCATTGTTTGACATGCCCGAGTAGCCGCCGTAGTAGTTCTCGCCACCACCACCGCCACCACTCATGCTCGTCATGCTCATGCCCTGGCCGCTGCCGCCGCCACCGCCGCCGCCCATGATGGAACTGTGGGTCCGCAAAACATGTCGGTAAATGGCAAAGCCCCACAATACCCTTCTGGCATACTTACTACATCTCGGACTTGGTGTCGGCCGTCTTCGGGAAGGAACTATAGCGCAGCATGGACTGATTGTATTCTGCAATGCCCGTGGGAAAGCTGCCTTGTTGCATTCCCTGTTGTGCGTATTGCTGGCTGTTGGCCTGGTTCGAGTGCAGCCACTGACGACCGCCGTAGCCACCAGATCCGCCATAGGAGCCCTGATTCATGCCACCCATCTACACACATATACGACTGATATGAAGGCTATTGGTTGTGGGTTAGCTCACCTGTGAGTATCCGGACATTCCCTGGCCCTGACCACCCATGGAGTAATCCCAACCGAATTCCGAGCCTCCGTAGTTACCGTTCTCCATAGCCCTTAATTTGTGAACCAAAAGAAAATTTGAACTCTCGAAAACTTTTAAAAAATATTTTTTGTTCTACCAAGATGTTAACTACATGAATGTCGGCTTTGAAATGAATTACTGTGCCAGTAGGAGACAGTAGTTCCCCAGAAAGCAAAATCAAAGACTACTTCGCTTCCGTATAAAACATAGAAAGTGTATGCATGACAAATATTGGTTGATAATGCGACGAAATATCATCATTTAGCTGTCATTTCACTGCATTTGTTTTTTCTGCGTGTAAGGACTTTTTAGGCAAGTGACTAATGCCTGCTGGACAAAAAATTACACCAATTTACCTTCACAAATGGCATCATTATGAGGATCATAAAAATCGTGTTATTTCATATTCATAATGCTGACCACTGTGCAGCCAAGTGAAGGTCAATTGCTGAGCTGTCCTTGACTTACGACAGCTGCAGGACACTGAGGAGTACCTGTGGACTTCAGGAAAATATTTGAACAAGTTTCAAGCGCCAGATTTGTGTGAACAATCTGAATCTAACAACACATTTATGCACTAATAAATTCGTAAAATATCAAGCCCTTAGTTAAGATATGAATTCCATAAACAAAATGCTTGAAAAGCCATGACATAACTCTTAATGTCCATAAATTTATGATTGAAAATAACATTTTAATCACTGCAATCAGTTACCGTAAAGTTTTAAATTGCTGGTCTATTTAAGACTGTTTTATTTTGGAATGTGGCAGTATATGCTTTTTTAATTACATTTTGAATTCCCTAAAATTTCGAACGGACTGACAAAAATTGGGCCTTCAAATTTAATTTTAGAACAACGATACGAAGAACAAAACGAAAATATTGTATTCCTCAAGTCTTTGGCTACCAATTAACACCTTAACAGCCACAGTGATGCCCTCAACTATGCCCATTTGTCAGCCCACTAATTTGACATGCGTGCCTTTTAATGTTTTCCCAAACATTTTGATTTATCAACTCTTTTAGAGCGCCCAACACAGAGGCATCTATCACATATCACAACTGCAACATGCAGCATGAGGCATGGCAGTGGAAGTGGAAGCTGCCTGTGGACACCTCTTGTCCCCAGGCAAGTCATTCAAATCGAGTCTATCAACAAGGCAACTACATTCGAAACGAATTAGCTCGTTGACCCCTCCCAGGCCACGTGGGACTCTCCATTCGATGAGATCCCATCCGATACGATCCGATCCGATCCGATTCGAGTCAACAGTCAACAGCCAACACATGTTTCAGTCCCATTAAAAAATTGTTTATGAAAGCAAACATTTCGGAAGCGATTAATCATCGCTGAGTGGTGCGTGGTGCGTGGCGAGTGGCGCGGGGGCCGAGCAGCGAAAAACCCCTTCGCACCGACGATCTCCATGGCAGTAGTTGGAAGTGCCAGACGAGTAGTTGGAGAGACGCTGGAGGCGTCGTTGTTCGGCAGCCGACGGTGAAACTAAAACTGAAACCAAGTGCCTTCGCATTTCGCTTGGATGGAGAGAAATGGCCCACGCAAGTGTTAAATGCTTCCCAATTAGTGTCAGCTGCTCGCTGGCTGGCTGGCTGGTTGGCTGGCGTTTCTATTAAGATCGCGTTTCTAATTGCCTTATTAAGGAATGCTTTTCATTTTCATTTAAGAAGCGCCACAGATACAAATCACATTTAAAATACACACATGTGTAGAGTCTTGTTCATCAGTGAAACATTGTTGCAATATTTCTGTAAAAATATTGAAATTGATCATTTTTGAAACCAGTGCTATACTTACAAAACAATTACTAGAATTGCTAACCATTTCCACTAAAAAACGAATCAGAGCCTACAAATCCGGAGTTTGTTTTTAACACAACTAATCAAAGTTACAATATTTGCAGAAATATTTATATTAAAAATAAAATTAACAAACTTTAAACTAGAAATACTATTTAGCTTTTACATCTGATTCGTTTGCGATTACATTTTTCTTCAATAATTCATGTGTTCAAATAACATTAGAAAACTGCCAGGAAGCTGAGAAGTCTTTGAGGCAATGGCTAGCGTTATGTTTTTCATTTGAGACGATTATTCATTTGAGATCAAACGATGTGGCATTAACGCTTATTGCAACTATCGTCTGCCACTGGTAATAGTCGTCCAACGGCATTAATTTTTCATTGGAAATTGCAGACATCTTGCCATCTAGTGGTGGTCAATGGGTTTACCGCCCATCCTAATGGCTTGCGCAGCACTCAGCTACGAGTGTGAGGGCGAGAGGTCTTTGTATTAAATTCACAGTTATTGCCGTGACAATTCAATGCGATCCTTTCAAATAAAATGTATAATATTTCAATTTTTGAATGCGCACAATGGATGTGCGCAGACGGTCAGGATGCTCACAATGATTGTAGGGGCGGAGGGGTCGAGGGTGAGGTCAGCCTCGGGCTGAGGGTGAGAGATGTCATGAATGCGAACAATACGAGCCTGACCTAATTTACACCACTGTTGACCTTTGGTCACCGTCCACCCCCTCTGTTATTAGTCGGCACATCGTCTCCGGCCTGGATGGGACACATTTAAACTCTTGGCCGCCTCTGCACCAATGTCCTGCCAGCATGCCCGTCTCTCTGTCCGGTTTATTGTTATTGTTATTATTTAAAGTGTACCCAGTAACTGTCAAACGGAAGTATTTGTGCTTTTGTTGTTTTCCCATCCACACTATGGCTGTGCCAACCACTGAACTGTGGCACGTGCCCTGCCATGTGAGTGCCGTCCCTGTTTCTAGCCCGTCTAAGTGGAGATAGTCTCCAGAAATTGTCAGCCTTCATATACATATATAGGTATCTATGTACATGTGTATGCAAGCATGTATATATTTTGAATAGACCGCGACTAAATGTGGCAAAGCCTGTTCCAAAGAATCAATGATTTTAAAAAACTATCAATATAGAACCGAGTAGTACTCTTCTATATCCAGTACCCGCATCTTTCCCTACACATTCGCAAAACGTCTCAAACTCATGTCTGTTATTTAAAATTACTTAAAAATTAGTTCTTTTTTAACAAAACTAATTATACTAATGGGTGTTATTAGAAATAATCACATTTCTGCTGGAGCTCACTGCAGTATCTATTTTTAAAAATTGAAAAACTAGACTAGACTGCTCGTGTATGCTCATTTCGATGAAGCGATCCACAATTTATTAGACTCCCCTTTCCCCTGTACGGCTGGCATGGATGCACTTTTTCGCTTCCTCGCCAACAAGTGCCCTCCCACACAGTTCATCTATTCACAATTAGTTGTTTACATTTTGTAAAAGAACAAATGCAAATGCATTCAAAATTGATTTACGTCGGTTTTTACGCTCATAAATTTGAAGCTATTCAACGGGTCCCGAAACCAACAAATTGTAGTCTACACACACACAGATCGATCCGATGACAATGCCGGGCAGGGGCAGATAAACTGAAATATTACACTCGAATATTAAAAAACGCAAAACAAAGAAAGTGAATTGGTCGCTCGATTGACTCGTAGAGCATAAAAACATGGAACCGAGCACAGCGGAAGCCACGCAGAACATACTATTCCGGTAGAGCGGAGGGAGAAGGAAATAAAACGATAAACACCACACAAGGTGGCGCCGAAGTCTCAATACTCTAGAAAGATACATTATATAATCATTTTAAACACGAAATACATTTTTCTACGATTAACAGCAGCCGTCCCTAAAATAAAAGATTTCGGAGACACAGAGAAACAAATCTACGAACTCATCTTTCTTTTTTGTTTCCTTTCACAACATCATGTCACAAAAGGCAGGCTGAAGTCGTAATGCTCTTGTGAAGAGTATACAAAATACCATAAAAATAGAAATGACGATGCGTTGACAGTGCGACTAACGGATAGGGGAACGGAATGCCTTATAGCCCGCAGGATATATGTATGTCTCATACACAATATTTATGTTTGAACGCGTGGCGATGGGACCGACGGCTGGCTAGTTTTTTCCAAACTACATACATACTTGTACATATGTACATGTGCATTTGTATGTTTGTATCTAAGGCAAGGGAAAAGAAACGACGGAAATAACTGTTCCACAATTTTGGATTAATAAAGCGTCCATCTCATTGACATTCATTGAACTGTCCACCTATTAGCGTTTGATTTAAATCCATTTACATACATACATGGAAGACAGCACTCGATGGGTGAAAGGGTATACGAACTGATCAGCATTATAAATCGCATCAATATAACCATGTTTTTCCTTCATTCATCCGCTTGTCCATCTGTCTGTTTTTATGAATATCAGTAGGTTTTGAACCTCCACACCACAACCGCTTGTGTTTATTTTGATATGATAGCCAAAATTGTAATCACTCCCGAAAGATCCTCAACTAACGAAGATATATACTATATTTTTTTAAAGTGTTCCCCCACAGTCGTTTTTCTAGCTCATTGGTTTTTTGTTCAGAAATTTGAGAATGGCAGAATTGCCTTTGAGCCTCTGTGTGTTTCCCATACTCTGCAATTGGTGTTCCAAATAGATATAAGCGTTCTACTCGTTGTACCTAACAAAGGTAAGTAGATATGGATTACATTTGTATATACTGGTACATGTTTGTGTAAATATGTGCATTTGTAGTTATGTCTATGCATGGGTATATAAAGAAAAACTTATCTGTTACTATGTTTGTTGCCATTCTGTTTGGCTGCAGCTTTGTCGCAAATCCAATTTAATACGCTTACGTTTTTCCTTTTTATCGTATTTTTGTTTTCCAGTGCTCTACTGCTGCTTGTTGTTGCTGTTGTTGCAATGAGATGCATAAGTACATATAAAAAACCACACATCCACATCCACAGCCACTGCCACTGCCAGTGCAGAGAGGCATCGCCACCACCACCACCACCAGCACCACCAGCACCACCACTAAAGACTCAATTGATTGTTATTGATTTTTAATTTCCTTTTTTGGGCTTTTGCTTCCTTTTTGCAGACTTTGAAAATTTTTCATGTTCTATTGGTTTAATGTGAATTACGAGTCCCATCAGTCCCAACAACAATCTGCTGATATGCAAGGCTTGTAATTTAATCGCATTTGTATCGATG